CTGGCACAAATTAGAATATTGACATTTTCCCAATATTCAACATGAACAGGGTATATTTACCCAATTGATTTACTTTTTCTCTCAGAAATATCTCATAGTTTTCTCTATAAACAATGTGCACATCTCCCATCAAATTTATCCCTAAATATTCAGTGTTCTTTACTACTTTTGTAAATGTTTTTTAGGATATTATCCTAGCTACATTGTTGTTATGTAAGTACAATTACTGTTTTTAGTTTAACTTTTTATCTGGTGGCTTTGCTAATTTTTCAAGCTATCTTTGTGTTTTTATTGTAAATTTGTGTACAATCTTTACCTTTACAATGATGAAATCCGTGAATAGTACTTCACAAGCTTATCTGCAGTTGTGAACTTTTTATTATCTGATTTCATTGGTTGTGACCTCCACTGTAATGAAAGTTATAAACACTTGTTGAACAGAAGTTGAAACACCTATTTCAGTTACAAAGGAAAGATATTCATTATTGAAACACCTATTTCAGTTACAAAGGAAAGATATTCATATTTTGATGAAGAATATAATATTGGGTGAGAGATTTTTATTTTTCCCTTTCTTAGGCCAAGAACATGTTCCTTTATTATTTTTTTAATGGAGTTTTGATCATAACAGTTGCATTTTTCCAAATGCTTTCCATCCTCTGTTGAAGAGACTTATAATTTTTTCTCAATCTGCTCATTTTTAGTTTAAAGTGAATGACACAAATTAATTTTGGCATATTACATAAACATTGAATTTCTTGGATGAAACAAATATAGCAACTTACTACTTTTTTGTTTCACTTCTGTACCAATGTTGCAATATTTGGTAAAAGCATTCGTGCCTGTAATGGTCAATTTCATCAATTTATAATTGATAAATGCAATTACAAAGAAGATTATAAGACATTACCCTGGATTGTGTGTGATAGATTGCATTTACAGAGACTGAATAGACTAATTCCTAGAGGAATCAAAACATGGCAGTATTGTTGAGAGGTAGGTTAAAAGTACAAGGTTGGATGGATCAGGAGAAGCAAGGTCACTGAGGCGAGACTTGAAGGTGACATCTTGTTCTGTCCGTTTCCACATTGTTTTGTCTCTGACTCTTGTCTGACACGATGTGAACTACCCTGCTCCATCATGCCCTTCACACAGTGATGGAGTGGCCCCTCGGTATTCAGGAGTCACAATTAACCCTTCCTCATTTAGGTTATTATATCAAGTCTTTTGAAATAGCAATGATAAAAGCAGTCAACACAGTGTTTGTGGTCTTGAAGAATATTCTACTTTTCTAGATGGAGTGTTGGTGCAGTTAATGTCAACTTGATGGGATCTACACTCACTGAGAAGACAGGCCTCTGGGAATGTCTGCAGGGCACCTAGATTAGGCTAATTGAGGTAGGAACACCCCAAGTGTGAGTGGTACCATTTGTTAGGCTGGAGTTCTTGACTTCAAAAGAAGAGCTAGCAGAGCACAAGCATCCATCCCTCCCTGCACGCTTCTCTGGATGCTTGATGACCAGCTATGTCATACTCCCGCAGCCATTACTTCCATCACACGATGAACTATGAGCCCAAATTAAATCTTTTGCCTTTAGTTGCTTTTATGAGGTATTTTGTCACAGCCACAGGACAAGTCACTAATGCAGGCGCCCTTATCCTGTTTTAGCAGTAGTGTCGAGGTCTTCTGAAATGAGCTGAAATAGGAACCACCATGTTTCTCTATTTCCTATAACAGTTTTGTGTCGCGCACTTTCCTTGACCTGGCAAATGTTTTGTTCTCTAGTGAAGCCATTTTGGCTTCAGGCTCTTTGTGTGGTAAATTGATAGGCTAATTCAATTTCTTCCATTGATAAAAGAAATTTAAATATTTCTGTTTTTCCTCAATCAATTTTAGAATATGTCTTTCTAGGAATTTCTGTCTTCCATATACATTGTCAGTTCTATTGGTATAGGTCACACAAATTATTTTCTAAAAAGTCTCTTAATATTTTTATCATGTGTGTTAGTGCCCAGTCTTTCAGTAGTTATAATATATATTTGATAGCTCTTCACAGATACTTAAAAAAATCTTTTCAAATAATCTGTTATATTATTTTTTCCGATTTTCCTTTTTCTATTCAATTTCTTTTAATCATTTTCTCTCAACATATACTTGGTTTCAATCACTATTTACTTTTTAAAGATGAATGCTGAGTTCACAAATTTTATGCTTTTTTTAAATTATTTTTACAATAGAGCTAGAAATTTCTTCCTAAGCATTATTACTTTAGTTTCTGCCTATAAAGTTATACTATTTATAGATCAAAATGTGTCTAATTTCTACAAGATTTTGTCCTTAACTTATGAGTTATTTATACATTTGCAATTTCAATTTTAAATTGTTATATAGCAGTGACAAGTTGTTTACCTTTCTGAACATTCCTTCTGGAAGGCAAAATTATATATTCTACCTTTATTTGGCACAATACTCTATAAGTGTTAATTAACTCAAAGTACTTGGTTGTGGTGTTCAAATTCCTGTATCCTTATTTATTTTCTGTTCTCCATACTGAGCCTATATGTAGCATTGGAAATTTTCCATCATATGCCTGGGAACTTTGCTCTTGGCTGTATGTTGTCAATCCTGGATATATATTTTAATTCTCCCTCTCCCTCTCCCTCTCCCTCTCCCTCTCCCTCTCCCTCTCTCTCTCTGTCTCTCTCTGTCTCTCTCCCCTCCCTTTCCCTCTCGCTCTCTCGCTCTCTCCCTCTTTACCTCTTTCCTTTCCTCTCTCTTTCTGGTACTGGGGATTAAACGTAGGAACTTGTGTGCATACCAAGCAAGAACTCTACATGATTTATATTTATACTAGTGAATTATGTTGTCTTGGTTTGATAACAATTTGATATGAGATATTGTTATGGGATAATCTCTCTCTCTCTCTCTCTCTCTCTCTCTCTCTCTCTCTCTCTCTCTCTCTCTCTTTTTTTGGTCCTGGTCTTCTCTTCACTTCAAATTCTACTTTGTCAGTTATTACTTTAGCAATGGAGGCTTCTTTATGTTTTGTATTTAAAACTTGTGTCTGCATACTTCTTTTGTTTTTTTTTTCTTTTAACCTATAACCTTTTATATCCAGGCTGATAGTATTTGCTTTTCAATTGCAAAGTCAAGTCCACTTGTTTAGTGTAATTATTGACATTTGGGCCGGAGCCCCTACCATGATGTTTTGCTTTCTCTTTTTATAATCTATTCTTTGTAGTTTTTATATCCATTTATTTACTGTACAAGGTTGTACATTCGTGCCATAGCGTAAGTGTGGAGAATGAAGGACACATTGCAGGAACTGATTCTCCCTTTGTTATATGTAAGTTCTGGGGTTCAAACTCAGGACATCAGGCTCTGGTGGCAAGCACCCTTACCTGCTTATTCACCGGTCCTCACTTCTTTGCTTTTATTTGTAACTATTACCACTTTTCTGTAGTTTTGGGAAGATAATTTTATTTCTGATTTTGATAAATTTACTAACTTTTGTCTATTTTGTACTATTTTTAATCATTCTTCAGTGACTGAAATACACATCTTCAACAACTGCTTCAAAATGTAGTAATTTTGGTAATGTGTTTCCATGTAGGTCTTAAATTCATTGTATTTTTATTGTCATATACAATATCTCTACATATTCCAGGGGAGATGGTTTGTTGTTTCATTGTCATTAATAGCGTCTTGCCAATATTCTGCTATGACTAGACACTCTAAATAAATTACCCAGGCAGAAGAAAACCTAATGAGAAGCTCACTGTGCCAGCAGCCATCCTGTGGCTAGACAGTGTCTGGTTGAGAGCACAGAGCCTGCAGGAGTATGGCTTCAGGCATGTCCCCTCAGAGATAAGCGATTCTCAAGTCTATAGTCTTAACTTCAGATGACAGAGAAGGAGACAGAGCTCATTGGATGGAGTGGGAGGATTGACACAATTCATTTGTTGTCTCAGTTTTTTTTCTTTCATCATGTTTTTCTACTTTGCACTTCATGATTGAATAAGTGGCTGTCTTAGTGTTATTGGTCATATGGTTAAGCTGTGCAAATATTAAATGTGTACATTAAGAATGGTTGTGATTTAATTTATATACAGAACTGTTGAAACTGGACAATTTCATTAAAATTACAATCCGCTGGACATTTAAAGTTAGTATTCCATATATTCTTCACTGAAGTTCTGTGCAGTTATGTAGGTGAAATGCAGAGTTCATTTCAGTCTCCTTCACAAATTACCCACATCCAATTTCCAGTTAGCATGCAGTGCCTTTCTAAACATTAAAAAAATATTTTAAACTTACTCCTTTCTCTTGTGATTAAAATCAAGCACCCACACTTTGATAAGTACGGGGAACTAGTGTGTAAGAACAACATCCAAGCTCTCTTGTCGTCCAAGATTTACTGGAGTTTGGTATAAGCCTGAGGTGCTTAGCATGCGCCAATGCATGTGGTCATGATAGAGCATTGGAAAAATCCAATAGCGACTCAGGAAGTAGATACTGAAGCATGTCTAGGATGGTAGGACAAAGAAGGGCCATGGAGAGTAAGCCTGAATAACAAAGAGGAAGGCCTAAGGGAAGTCAGATGAACATTATTTTAAGTTTGGGTTTAATATTCAGGAGTGCAAATCCTTTTCCCTTCTGCTTTAAAGATTTGATTTGCTTTTTTAAAAGTTTGAGCTGCTTCGAAGGAGGTTTATTGTTGCAACAGGCCAGAAGAGATAAGAGATCTATTCTATGCAGCTCCCAGTCTTCTCATAACAGAATATCAGAAAAGATCTGAGTCAGTTGCACATATGAAAGGTATAAATGAGTAAGTAGATTTGCATGCATGAAGCTCAATGTAAATGCTGGAATGATCATGGATTCATTATGATTAACAGAGCCAAAAACATATAAAAAGTTTCAGTTCAACTGATTAATTTTCTTTACTTCCAAAGTACAAAGACTTGCAAATTTAGTAACATTTAAGTAGCAAACTTACATGATTTGGAGTCTGGTGATGGAGGAGAAATATTAGACACAGCAAGGTCGCTTTTTGATTTTTTAGGCTTCTTTGCATTCAACTGCCAGGGTTTATCATAGCTTCTGAAATCCCTTCTTGTTCCTTTGGGTTCTGCTAAAACAAATAAATCAAACTAATAAGGATGAAAAAATCTTGATCATGAAATGGAGCATCATATATTACATATATATTTAAATGTCTACTGAGCAGAGTTAAGTGCTGTGGGATGGTCTGTATGTCAAATTACTCTGATTGTTCAATAAATAAAACACTGATTGGCCAGTGGCCAGGCAGGAAGTATAGGTGGGACTAACAGAGAGGAGAAAAAAAGAACAGGAAGGCAGAGGGAGACACTGCCAACCACCACCATGACAAGCAACATGTGAAGACGCCGGTAAGCCATGAGCCATGTGGCAAGATATAGATTTATAGAAATGGATTAATTTAAGCTATAAGAACAGTTAGCAAGAAGCCTGCCATGGCCATACAATTTGTAAGCAATATAAGTCTCTGTGTTTACTTGGTTGGGTCTGAGCAGCTGTGGGAATGGAGGGTGACAGAGATTTGTCTGACTGTGGGCCAGGCAGGAAAACTCTAGCTACAGTTAAGTTCAGTAAAATATTGGATTTTATGGATTATTTCATTTTATAATTCTGTCCAAAAGGTGTATTAGGGAAATAGCCAGGATATCTTTCCTATCTAGTTGGTTGAGTAAATATGAGGGGCAGAAATTCACCCACTAGTGTAGCAGACACACGATTTGATTGATATGAGAATTTCAGCAGTAGTTATGATTTGTCCTTTTCATGTTTTCTGTTTTGTTTTATTTTAGAACCCCAGAGTTTCATTTCAACCTATACGATGAAAGGGCAACAAAAACTCTGCCTATATTATCTGCTGGCATACCTGAAACTAGATAAAAAAAAACACTCCACATTTAAGTTTGAATCACTAGAAAACTATCATTCTGGAAGGCATTGATGATACATATTTTTTTGCCTCTTAAGCAAGTTTTTATTGTATGTTTTGTCATGACAATGGGGAAAAACAACTAATACATCATGCCATGAACTTGGCATGACAAATTAAAAAGATAAACATACAAACTTCTCTATTAGTAAATATAAACTGCTTCTGTCCCAAGCCTTTTTACATATTATTCCTTTGAAATCCACATAGGGAATGAACACAAGCTATGCTTTTAAATACTGCAGTGCATAAATTCATCAATGCTGCTAAAATCTAAATTTTGGACAATAGAGAGTAATGAAATTCTTAGAACCGTTGCAAATTCAGCATGTTCTAACAATATGGTTTGTGGAAAGTTCATAATTCACAGTGAGTTTATATTTAATTAAAGAATAGAATATTTAAGACACCAAGGAATATTATAATCTTACAGCTATTAAATGTCAGAACCTGACTTTCCCATATAAGTAGAATAATTTTATGAAACAAAACAAAATCCTAGGGAAGAGTTGCTGAGCAAGCTGTGATTAAAACACAATTGTACATAGAATTCTATTGAAAAGGAGTTTTGTGATTTTTTTTAAGTGCTGACAGAAAACTAAAATGCAATACCACATTAAATTTGTATTCAGTGCTGGAAAAGGAACACTGGTAGTGCTGAAAATTGAATCAGGGGCATACAGAACCCACTTCACTCAATAAAGCTCCAGAGCAGAGAGGCCACAAAATGAGAAGAGTAATGGCAAATGAAAGGGGGAAATGGTGTCTCTTAGAGGAAACTCAGTTTGCACAAAAATGATCTTCTTGGAGAATCATAGAAAGCATCTCAGCTACACTTTTGAACATCAAGTGGTGTGTGTGTGTGTGTGTGTGTGTGTGTGTGTGTGTGTGTGTGTATAATTATTATACAAAAGGAATTACTTTTCATTGCAAAAATGAAACAAAAATAAGGTCTTCCTTCACACTATTAAGCAATGCATAAGTGAGAACACGCTGTACCCTGAGTTGCTAGATGTATTGAAACAGAACAATAGGACAACTTCAGGTATTTTGGAAAAGTATTTTGTCTCTGTCCTTGAGACATTCTGTAATTGATTAGAAGACACAAAATCACAATCATGGTTTAAGAGAGAATCATTAACCACCATCCAAATAACCATTCTTGGTTTCTATTAATATCCAATAACTGATTGTTCTCTTTCTCTTTCCACATCTTCCCTCTGAAATATTTCCCCCTCTTCTGTGGACCTTACACTTCACATAAACAAGCACTGCTCCATTTTCAAATCCTCACTTCATATCTTAACGTGTATATCATCTTTTCACATAAAAATGTTTCTTTGCAGCTTCCTGTAATAGAGGGTTTCACCCCATCCCAACATCACACACACACACACACACACACACACACACACACACACACACACACACACACACACACATGCTGTGAAGGCTTGAAGCTCCTAGGTACCAGGTGCTTGTGCACCAGGAGGCCTCCACAAATGAAGTGCCCTTCTCCCTTGTGGGAAACACCACTCATCACACCTCACTATTAGCCTGGGCTTCCCCCACACCAGTCTTGCAGACATGGCTACAGTCTATCTTGTCTTTCTGACAACGTGAGTGAAACACTGGTGACCTCTTTAAACTTCTATAAACTGCAGGCTTCAGACATTCTTGCATCAGTTCTTCACACCTTCCCTTCTCTGATGCTTTAGACACCCCAAACTCAGGCTCTGTGATGGGTCTTCTCACTCCCCAGAAAAACTCCACCTTAGAAGACTTGATGTCAAATATCACCATCTCTTGGCACAGCTAGAGAACCATGTGTTTCTTGAACTACATCGATCTGTTATAGGTGTTTTTATCTCTGACTGGGTTTCTCTGGACAAGTCTGTTCTCAAACACCACCGTTATCTTCCACACCAGGCTTTGTGCTTAGTTACTTGTACAACTTGCTCATCAATAAACTTTGTATAAATTTGTGTGCCACCTCCTCCTCTGGCTCTTCAAATTTTGAGGTTCTGCTGGAGAACATTTTGCTGGTGGTTTCCAAAAGTTTTAATAATGACTAATTCATGTCTTCAACTCAGTTTTGCCCCAGAGTTGTTAAACAAACATTAATTTTCTTTTTCATAACCTGTCTCTATTCTCTCCTGGTAAATTATCAGGATTAGGATCGCTTACTTCTTCTATCTAATCTCCAACTCTTTTTTTATTCAACAAGTAATTTTACTTCTTAAGAAACAGCAAAATTTAAAGCACACAGAATAGTCTCACACTAATCATCTTCCAGAACATTCCTTACTTGATATACAATTTAGTGCATTTTTTTCCATTCTTTCATTCTTGTGGATGGTATGGTTTTTGCTTTGATACCAGATGAGTCCCATTTTGGAGTCTCCTGCTCTGACCCAGCACAGAGATTCAGAATCACATTCAAATACTTGCTAGTATTGCTTACTAAGATGTTCCACAAAAACTCAAATTCACCAACAGGAATTCAGCCTCTATTTTTTATTGGAAATTTAGTCTCATGCTTCATCTTGACCTATTAAATGAGAATTTATACTATTACTTAAGTTAGTAAACCAGTAGCTATAATAATATACTCCCTTTCCTTTCTAAGAAAAGTCACCAAACTCTTGTGAGAATGAGAATTCTAAGAAATCTGGGATGATAACAAAGTAATGATTAATCATGACCTACATTATTCCCTCTTCTTGAATGAAGATGAGATCATTGATTTGCTTCTGTCAAATACAATATAGCAAAAGTGTTGAGATTATAATGTCACAATTACATTGTAATCATTACATCATGGAAATCCCATTTGAGCAGACTTCTTGAATTGGAGAAAATAACCTGTCACATGGTAAGAGTCATGTGGAAGTGAATGCTACTTGTATCTAGCAACTAAGAAGAAACATGGGCTGAAAGCCAGGAGGGAAATCAGGAACTTAGCATATGCTGTGGAGAGGTTATTTGCCAACAAGCCAAATGGTTTTGGAAACATGTTCTTCTCAAGCTCAGTGTCCAGATGAGGATGCAACCCAGCTAACAGTTTGATTGTCTTATGAATCTATACAGAGCTGACTAAGCCAAACACAGGCTTCTGGACATGGACATTGAATGGCAAATTTTTATTGATAAATAATTCAGAGTTTAATATACAACTGCCCCTTAAATAAAATTATTTATAAAATTTAGGCTCTCATGAACTTCTAGAGCTTCAAAGATGGCCATATGATCTTTTACCACAAGGTGGGTACCATTTTAACACCTAAAAAAACCAAAACCTTTGCCAATCAACCCACCTAACTTATAAACCCAAGGAAATGAGTCCAAAAATAAATAAATAAATAAGGCAGATACAAGAATTCTCTGTACAGCAAGATTTGTACAGCAAGATTCGTGTTCTAGTTTCCTGTCTAATGAAGATAACTTTGGTGGAGATATCATCACCAGCAATATTCACTTTCTTCAGAGGGTATTCATTTTCTGCCCTCTTTATTGTAGACTTGTGAGAACACCAGGAAGGTATTGATATGATAACACAGCAAGAGAAAGGCAAAATCCTTTCCTGAGATTCCACAGAGTATGAGGAGAAAAAAAAGGCACCATGGCACCGTCCCAGGAAATCATCTAGAGTCAGTCTAATCCCATGGGAATTAGGCAAAGAGTTGGTGACCCATGCAACAGACAGGTCTTAGTTTGGGTTTCTATTTTTAACACTAGAACAGCATGACCAGCAGGGAATTCAGAAGGAAAGGCTCCGTTTCATCTTACACTTCCAGTAGCACTCAATTACTGAGGGCAGGACTTGAAGGCAAGAAACCAGAGGTAGGAACTATAGCAGAAACCATGGAGGAATGCTGCTTATTGGCTTGATTTTCATGTTGTTCAACCTGTTTTCTTTTAGAACCACAGACCATCTGCCCTGGGGTAACACTGCACACAGTGAGCTGGACCAATCAATCAGGAAAATGCACCACAGGCCTGTCCATAGGCAAATCTTATGGGGGCATTTTCTCAAATGGTTCCTTTTCCTAAAATGCCTCTGTGTCGTGTCAAGTTGACGTAAACAGACTAGCCCAAGGCATGGAGAGATTGGGATTTGAATGCAAAGTGCAAACCCAAAGACCAGAGTGTAGGAAAATTGAAGTTACATCTATCCCCGAGTTAGTGTTATCCCCGATTTAGTAGTGAAAGGAGGCTACTGGAGACTTGGAAGGCTGGTTTCCCAATGTTCAGAGCTGCCCAGTGCTCAACTAGTTCTAAAGTTAAATTTACTACACAAGATAATATTAGTCATGGAAGAAATAAAGAGTAATCAGCTTTGAGAAAAGCAAAAGTAACCTTGTAGACACTGTCTTATTACTTTCCTGAGCAGATAAGCTGTATTCTTTCAATCAGGTTGTTAATAAAAAGAAACACAAGTTTAGAATAATTACTTTGAATCCACACAGAATGAAACATTTTCATGCAAATCAGAATCTTTCTATTAAATGAAATATTCTGATTTTCATTTGTAGAAGCATAGTACATTATAATGTATTTAAATTCAAAACTATTTTATATGAAAACTTAACACAAAACTAATCACAGAATACCTGAAAATTTTAGGTTTATATATTATAATTAAAAATACTTGTGAAACTTTTCTAATAGATCAGTGGTTCTCAACCTTCCTGATGCTGTGACCCTTTAATACATTCCTTATATTGTGGTGACTTCAACCACAAAATTATTTTTGTTGTTACTTCATAACTAATTTTGCTACTGTTATGAGGTGTAACCTGTGTTTTCTGATGATCTTAGGCAAGCCCTGTAAAAGGGTCATCCAACCTCCAAAAGGGTCTCAACCCACAGGTTGAGAACCACTGTATCAGATGTGTCTCAAAGTAACATATATAGTCATAGTTTCTTCTTTTCCCCCAATTACCTGAGGTTTCACTTTCTGCCCAGAGAGCTGCTGACCCAGACAAAGTTCTTTGCAGTTGTCCTCGGCTCCCTTGCTTAGACTGAAGATGGTCAATGAGAAATGGGATTGGCTGGTCAGGTGTCTCAGTGATTAGCTTGGTCATTAATTCCTAAAGACAGAACAAGACACACATTTACATCCAATAAGAAGAAAGACTACCTGAGCATTTATCATTGTTTGGCACTGCACCAACTCTTCACACATAGCAACTAATTAAAACTCTCTCAGAATTCTTCCAGGAATGTACAAGTTAGTAGCTGTCCTCACCCTAAGGACGATAAAGTACAGATAAACAAGCCAACTGTGTTACACAACCAAAACACAGCAAAACTTAGCCCAAACCATACTAGAAATTTTATCTAGATTCTTTTTGTTCAAGTATGGTTTCAAAATTTTAAATCTGGGATTAGTGTTTCAAGGGATCCCATTAGGAACTAAGCTTTAGCTAAAATAGACAATGTACCTTTCTTGATGTGTTAATATAATTTCCCTTTGAAATCCCCAAAGAACATCGGGAACTAAAGAACTGGATGAGCAGGCACAAAGTCACATAAGCCTTTCATAATCTCCAAACAATATAGAATTTATTTTTACAAAAATTCTCTCCCTTGTCTCACTCTCCCCCCTCCCCCGTCACCTTCCCCTCTCCCCCAATGATGATCTCTACCCACAGAACAGACTCTTTAATTTTTAGCTACTCTAACCTTAAATTGGGCTAAAATCTGCCCAAGGATCATGTCTCTGTGTTCTATTTATTCAGTCAGGAAGAGAAAAGGGCAATCTCCAATTTGTGGTCACTTATGGCATCCAGACATGAACAACTGCCACACATGAGAACGAGGATGGTGTTTTGTGCCCTGTAATTGGGTTTGTGAACTGGCACACCCCCTTACATTCCTGCAATCACAGCTCATCGTGCCTGTTCTGTCCTAGTATGCCAATTGCCATTTGAACTTCTCTGTAAGTGGCGATTGTTCTACTGAGTAGGTCAGGAAAGTTAGATGAGAGGGTTACTTAGGAAAGAAGGTACCAGTAGCTTCCCATTCCACCATTCCAGTTCTGGTTTCTTCTCTCTCTCTCTCTCTCTCTCTCTCTCTCTCTCTCTCTCTCTCTCTCTCTCTCTCTCTTTGTTTGTTTTTTGTGGCTGAGGATGCTGGCCTGTTTCTTCTTCTTTAATGCTCTTCCTCAGATGGCTAGCAGGCTTAATGGTCATCAGTTTGCCTCTAGTGACATAGTTTGAGAGGCTTCCCCTAAGCCTTTATAAGTCTGTATTATTTTGTATTCAGAATCCTGTCAGAGCTTCCCGCCCAAGGCAGACAACAGTCATGGTGAAATGAAGGGATGGGTTTTAACCAAAGTCACTTTGGGAAGACAGAGAGTAAGAATTTCTTCCCATCATTAGGGCTACTGACCCAAGCTTTGAACCTAACTGGAGAAGGAATTGGGATGGGGCAAGGCATGTGTGTAGTATCTAAGCACAGACAAAATAGATTTTATAGATGGCAAGATCCCTTGTTGCTGCTAGAGACACAATTTGAATAATTCAGAGCATCTGTAAACTAAAGCCAGAAAACAAAAGATCAAGACAGTTTGTGTCATGAATACACTGTGACGCAAAGTATTTGCCTAGGAAATACTTTTCATATGCAGAAAGTTGGGGAGAAAGGAGTGGGTATCGCTGCCACTGAAAAGGCTTTATTAGTATAACTAAAGAGGTCACCCCTTTCCTAATATTCACAAAGCAGTGCAGTAGTCAATTTCACATCAATGTAATGTAACACAACTCAAAACATTTCAATTTCTTATCCAGACAAGATTGCAGTATTCTATTTGAACTCCTTGTTCATTACAAAGGTCACTACACAATGGAGAGAAGAGGGAATGAAAGGACCAGTAAAGTTGATCTTGTCACAGAAATCCTGGGCACTAAAATAAAGCAAAATTAGATCAGATAAAATGGCCCAGGGCCACAGCAACTCTCTGTTGTGACCCTGAGAGATACCATGTGATTTTGTTTTTACAATTTTATCTTTCAAATCAGATGGAAAATTTTTATATTTTTGTTCTTTGAAAAGAAACTGAAGTATTTCTTATTCTCTATAGAAAATGGATTATACAGTTGAACTCAAATAGCCTCCATTTTAAAAATATGATGAATCTAGTCATTCTGGGGATACATTTTTAATCCACTAATAAGTATATAAGGTTAAAGGCACAAAAGAATTTCAGACATAAGCAATTAAAACAGCTAATGCTTTCTGTTGCAGAACATTTGTTTAACGATGCAGAAATGTGTTATATTTGTTTAATTATGTAAAAACATGTTGCTGTTTTACCTTGCCTCCCTAAAACACCTGATTGGTCTAATAAAAAGCTGAATGGCCAATAGTGAGGGAGGAGATATAGACAAAAATTCCAGGAAGGGAGAATAAGGAGGAGGAATTTAGGCTCAGAGGAGAAAGAAAAAGAGACACCAGGGACATGCCAGGGGCCACCCAGCCAGCCAGATACAGAGTAAGCAGGAAAGCAGGACATACAGAATGAAATAAAGGTAAAAAAAATCTGGAGACAAAGCATAGAAGAATTTTAAGAAAAGGCTAAATTAAATTAAAAGAGCTAGTGGGACAAGCCTAAGCTAAGGCCGAACATTCATAATTAATAAGTCTTTATGACTTAATTTGGGAGCTGGTTAACAGCCCAAAGGAAATGCCAACTATAGTTTTGGTACAGTATGTTGCTGGGTCAAAGGTCTAAACTCAGATGATTCTGAACACAAGAAAAGTGTTGTCTGGCCTCTCAATGTATCCAGACATTTTGTACTAGAATGAGCTTGAGAACTGGAATTTGCAGAAATTCATTTTCTAGATAGGAGCATTTAAATCCTTAGATTTTCAAAGGACCTCCTGGTAATAGGTCATCAGTCTCTTTCAACTATGGGGTTGTAGAGACACATAAATATAACTGAGGAGCTAATAGATTTAGGAGTTGAGATAGAGCTGTGTGGTAGAAAGTCAAGTTACAAGTGGGAACTGATTGCTGGATGGTTCCCAGGGCTCATTCAGCACAAAGGCAAAGTATTCGAGAATATTATGCCAATCTCAACTCTAGGGCTGAATATCTTCAGGAAATGATCTACAATCTTTATCATTAATCTAAGATTCCTGGAATGAAAGTCCCTGTGAGATTCTGGTTTGTGTGTTTATAAATAAAAAGCAAAACTGAGGAGGCAATACCTTCCTGTCCCAAAACCAAATATTTGTGGATATTTTATGCTAAGGACCTGGGGATTGACAACATGCAGATACTAATTTACTTGGAACCATGTTTTCACTTACAGGCTAGAGCACATACTAGCAAACTTGTCCATAATTGAATTCACAATTACTAATAACGATAATTTGTTGTATAAACAGTATTCAACAGAAGACACAGAAAACAGTCATGATTCAGCACCCAGGCTTTGAAACCACTCTTGTGAATCACTCTTCTACTTACTGGCTGTATAAGTGTGGGTAAGGTGCTTCATCACCTTAACATGCAATACTCCATCCACTAAATGTGAATGATAATAATGTCTACATCATACAGTTGCCATGGAGACTAAAAAAGATGATGAGCAGAAAGCATTTGCAAAGTGCTTTAAGCTATGTATAGACCGCTGGGGTGGGAATCGCTTCTCAGATCTCGCTCCTTCATTGATCTCTGTTAGGGTTTCCTAATGAGGAATTTGTCGAGGACTTGGAGAGCAGAGAAAAGCAGAAGAAACTGTTCTATAGAAATGATTGCAGGCAGAAATGAGGGCACATGGGCAGCTCACAGCAGCTTCCCAGAGAAGCTGGAAAACTCCACTGCAGGCTTGGATGGAAAAGCCTGCAAAAATACCTGAGAACTGCAGCAGCTGCCAGCACACAATTAATAGCCACCTGCTTCTTGTGCTGCAGCCTGAGATCTCCAGGGTCAATAACCTTGATCCCCATAGTGGCTTTTCTTGACCTGCAACAGCATTGTCTGATCGTGGAGCTCAACATTTTATCTCCCATCATGAAAATTCATTATTACTAACTTGATTATAACCAAGATACATAGAATAGCGTCTGATTTTCTGATTTAATTCTTGGTGATGCCCCTTAAAAAATGCAACATTTTGTTTCCATTCGTTTGGCTATTTGTTCCTGTGCTTCATCCAACCTTGGTTTCAACAATTCTCGCTCATATAAACCCTCCTCTTTCTCGTTAATTAGACTCCCGGAGCTCCACCCAAGGCCTAGCAGTGGATCTCTGCATCCAGATTCCTCAGTCCTTGGATGGGGTTTCTGGCACCACTATTAGGGTGTTTGGCCATCCCATCACCAGAGATCAGTTCCGGCTGTCTCTCAACCATTGCCAGTAGTCTATTTTGGGGGTATCTTTTTGGATTTCTGTGGGCCTCTCTAGTACTTTGGTTTTTCCTTTTCTCATGTGGTCTTCATTTACCATGGTCTCCTACCAAAGGCTGAGGGGCCCCCAACTGGATCAGGCCCTCTGAGATAGTTGATTGGCTTGATCTGTTTGGGAGGCATCTAGGCTCCTGTGCTCATTGCGTGAGTTGGCTGTTTGAAACCTGGAGCTTATGCAGGGTCGCTTGGCTCAGTCTGGGAGGAGGGGACTGGACCTGCCTGGACTGAATCTGCCAGGTTGATCTCAGTCCTCGGGGGAGGCCTTGCTCTGGAGGAGGTGGGAATGGGGGGTGGGTGGAGGGAAGGGAAGGGGGGCAGGAAAGGGGAGAACAAGGGAATCTGTGGCTGTTATGTAGAACTGAATAGTATTGTAAAATAAAATAAAAGGAAAAATGCAACATTTTAATGTTTATTGCAATTTTTAAAAAATTTATAGGCTATATATGTACAATATATCTTATTTTATTATTATAATAATTATCCTTTTATTAATATGTATTTGCTATATTATAAATAATTTATTTCCATTGATTTGATTTTATTTTGATAATAATGTTCTCTTACTCTTAATTAAAATGTAATTATATTATTTTCCTCCTTCTCTTTCCTCCATCCAACCCTTCCTATGTTCTCTCCTTAGCTTCCTCTCAAATTTATAATTCATGTCCTCTTT